TTTCAGAAAAAGTGGGCTGAATGACAGCAATGGCACTAGTCTGCCTGGTATGGGTGCACCGAGCCCATCGGCCTCTTCAGTTCAAACTAGTTATTTCCCTGGAGATGGAGATCAGTCTTCTACAGAGCTTGTTGATTACCGTCCAGATAGGCAAACATCTCAAGAGGTAGTAATAAATATTGATCAACTTACAAACCCATATCAAGAAAGACTAGCAGCTTTTGAAGTAGAACATGATCACAATTGACTTTCAGATGATAACATTGACAGTTTGACTCTGGGAAACTTATAAACCTGTAGATGTAGTTGTAGCATTGTAATATAATTGGAGGCCATCAGAGGCCTGGCAATTCATGGGAAAGTCCAAAGGAACATGCAGGAGAATACATATTACTCTGTTTGATTTCCTCGTTTGCGACACTCGAACTTCAAATTGTAAATATTGAATTACTATATATAACATATTTATAGCTAGGTAGGATTAAACTGAATTCCAGAATTAGTAAATTATTATCACAAATTACAGATTTTCTTCAGCAATTTCCCAAGATATTGTGAGAATGCAAGTAGTGGCATACGTTGTTTGCGGCCGCATTATAAATTCTGCCGACTTTCCAGAGATATTATATTGTGAAAACGAAAACAAAAGCATTATCCAAAATTAAGTTACCATGTTTTGAAGAAAACCCCCCTCATATTTTCAACAATCTTCAAGTTTTGTAGTAACCGTGAGTGGCATATAGAAGTCTGAGAGGGACATTATAATGCAACTCAAAGCAACATTAACATCAAAACATTCCAAGTCTAGAACCACACCAACGTTCACTCCAACATATGCTGTTGAGTTTTGGGCCAACCCCATTTCAATGAACAATATCCTTAAAGAAAGGAACAAGAAAATCTGAGTTAATGTTTAAATTATTAAAATTAATAAATGCAAAATAATTATTAAAATGAATCCCACACATTTAATTGAAATTGAAGAAAAAAATTGAAAAAAAAAAGATAACTAAAATTCAACAAAATAATGCAAAAATTATTTCAATAACAACTGAAATTTTACCATATTTATTAATTCATAAAATTATTAAGAACACAAAATTGAACAAAAATAATGCAAAAAATACAAAAAAATAATGCAAGACTAATACAAATAAAGGAAGAAAAACGAATGAAAAATACTTATATTAATGGCGTGCTTGATTTCAATTATTAATTAAAAAAAGAAGGAAAAAAAAAGACATCGTTAATAAGGACCTGCGGCAGCAGCTCCAACAAGATCTCTTATGTTGAATTCTAGTTGTTATTGTAATAAGTTTTGCATTATGTTACAGAATTTTAGTTGTTTTGTTTTTCAATTTTATTGTTTAATTTCAATTAAATATGTAGGATTAATTTTCATTATTATTTTGAAATTTTGTAAATTTATAATAAGTTTTTGTAAATTTATGTTTAAAAATACTATCACGTAGAAATGAAAATTTTCTAAGAAATTGAATTATGCTAAATTATTCACTGAAATTGAATAAAATCAATTAGATTATGTTGTGTATTTATAGGTTTACAATTTTTAGGGAATCTCCTGGAGGTGTTGCTAAATTTTTTAAAAAAATATAAATTATTTAATTTTTTTTATTCTTTAATTTGTGTAGATGCCTTATGGAAAAGTCTATTGCACGTCGCGAGAACAAGATTACTTGTAATGTTTTGAAAAACAAAAAGGAATAGGAAAAGGCAACAAAGCCCTTAAAGGCTTAAAAGTGAGTAAAATGAATAAGGGGTATTGTGGTAATTGAATAATAGTTAATAAATATAAATAGGAAGAAAAATAAAACAAAAGAACAAAAGAGAGAGCTGTATTTTGAGAGCAAACGTAAGAGAGGGAGAAGGAAGAAGAAGAAGAGAAAAGAGGGGAAGAGAAGGGAAAGGAAAGAGATTGAGAGGAAATAACTTTAAAGGTAAGATTTAGGTTGTTAAATGTATAAATGTGTTGTTTTAAATTTAAATTTATGTTTTGATAAATATTAGGGTTTTGAAAATTTGTGTTTTGGGTT